AGTGGGAGAACTTGCACAATTGGTGGCTGACTAAATACTTTTTTGCCCCACTGTAGTTCTGATGTACTTTTTTGCTTTTATGAACCTGTCTACAAAAAAAGCAACACTGAAGAGCCCAAGGATACTTTTATATTTGGCAAACTGATTTTAAAAGGAAACAAAATATATAACATAATACCCAGGGACAGTACTACATTGCAACCCATGTGCTTTCCCACAGAAAACAAACAAGATAAAAACAGCAGGAAAGAGAGCGCTATTGCTAATTGCAGTAAAGATAAAAATAACACCTTTAGTTTAATTGGTGAATACATTCTCCTGGTTTCCATGGCCTAAGGAATTTTTTTAAGAACCAATCTAGAGATGCTGGGCAGTTGAAAAAAAAATGAAATGAAAGACCAATTTCTCCCAAGCTTGTCCCAAGAGATTTTCTTCCTGAACTCCAAATCACAGAAAATTTGTTTTCAGTTTGGAACAGCCATTTCAAGCTTAGAAAGTCTTGCATACTTGTAGTTCCTTGGTTAAAACACTCTTACAGTTCTTTTTACTAAACTCTTAATGAATCTTGGTACTTTAAATGATCTTTTAGCGTTTTTTGGGTTAAAACTTTCCTTGGGATCAGAAAGAACGGGAATGGCTTTATCAGTTTTGCAGTTTTCTACTTTAGCAGGTCACCTCCACAAAGAACTCATTTTCATCCTTCTTTCTTAGTGTTGTTGTGGAATTCTTGCCAGAGACAGGAGTACAACGCCGAGAAGAACCATGTTTATTGCAATGATCGTTGGGTGCTTGCTTTCAAGATAGAGGGACCCTGAACAACAGAAAAGCATAGAATTTATACACTTTTGAGGTTGAGAGACAGGAAATCTGAGGGATCTGATTCGAGGATAGGTTTGGATAGGTGTTAAATGGGGGATGAATGGTTTTTCTGTTGTGAGATAAGAACCACAGCAAACCCTTAAGCAGACAGGTGATGGCCCTCCCATGGTTTCAGTATGAACATGGTCACTCTTGGGTCACGCAATAGCTTGGAGTTAATCCAGTTTTGCATGAGCAAAGAATGGCAGAAGGAAATGGAGAAAAGAGATTGCAGGAGAGGCAAGGGGAAGGGGGGCAGAAAGAGAGGCAAGGGGGAGGGGGGAGAGTTTCCAGCTTTATTATTTTTCCATCACAGTGTAATTTCTTACAAGAATCCCATCATCTGCTTATTTGTGAAAGCATCTCCACTCTAAATCCCTGAAACTTTGATTAACTATTTTCTTTTAGTTGTTTTTCTCTGAAAATAAAACTAAATGACTTTTCCAATAGTTTTAAAAATGCATATGTTATAAAATATAATAAATACAGTAGACCTGTACTAATAAGCTAATTAGCAGTCTCCAATTTCCAAACATCCTAATGGGACGGATAACATATGAATATCTGACCCTATGAAAGTACTACTGCTACTTCCCAGCAGAAAATTCACATAATATAGTTGCTTTAAAAAAAATTGCATTGGATTTTAAGCTATTTCCTATTCACAGCTTCATCCAGGAGGATGTTCCAGTAATAGCCATCCAGCCAAAGAACTCCACACACTTCTTTCCTGCTTTAAGGTAAGAATATAACTAAGATATGCTTTCTGATTTAATTCCAAGGACACCAGCAGGAATACTTCCAACTACTCACAGATGTACAGAACTTAAATTCCCAATGTTGATCTTGGTTTAAACTCCAGCATTAACCTTTTCTTATTCTACCATTGTTTAGCAGTAGCTTCAATAATGAGGTGCTGCAGAACCACACGAAAAGTCTGGATTTAATTCTCGCAAGTTAAAGGGAAAAAAAAAGAGGCACAGAAGTTGGAAAATGAGATTACTTTTTATTTTGGCACATGGAAGCAATTTATACACAATATATAGGCAGTGATAGAAAAACTGGCCACTCCTTTTCAAAGCGACAGGGAAATAGTTGCATTGACACAATGGAGAAGACTTCCATATTTCTATTTTTATCCAGGGAGAGAACCCTGCAGGGGTCATCCAGAGCTATCCACTGGCCCTGAAATGGCTCTTAACTTCCCAGCAGATACAGCACCTCGCCTATCAAGAGGGAGAGGAGTAAGAGCACCTTTGTAACAAGAGAATGCAAAAATACAAATTCCCCAGCCTTCTGCTTTTCTCTTTTTAGTTCGTTTTGTGTCATTCTATTTTCCTAAAATTATATCTGTTTTTTAAAAATGTATCAAAATTGTATAAAAATATATATTTTTTAAAATCTTGGGCAAAGGGGATTTATACTAATCGATAAAGGGCAATGGATTCCGTCTGAGGAATTTGGTTAAAGCATACAGTCCTTGGTTGCAGAAAGTTGCAGAAACATTGTTTTTAAAAATACAAAAATAAGATCTTTTTAAAAAGAGCACAAAATATTCCAAATGTATTTTCAAAGGTTTCAAGTCAGATACAGGAAAGGGAGCTACTGCCCAACCTCTGCAGCAAATCCAGGGGCCACCCATCTTACTGCTAAAGCACCTATGGCTGCTGGGTGCCTGGACTGTTATGCTACTAAAGAGTATATTCACACATATAAAGAAAACTGGCTTGTTTCAGTTGTCCTTTACTTCCAAAGCCTATTCTTTAAATGATAGATCCCACCAAAGGGGCCATTTACAGTAGTAGAGCTAGATTCTGAAAAATAATGAGTTAGACTGTTCCTCTACGCTTTCTATCCTGTGCCTGTCCAGGCATCCTTACAAGCCTATCTAGCAGAAGAGCAAAATATTTCCTGTTCTACATGAAAAGCGCTTCCTATTTATGTTAAATCATAAACTGTTTCAAATCAACAGAAATTTTTAAAATCCTATAAAAATAACAAGCACAGAAGCCTTTAAGCCAAGCGAATGCTATAGACAGAAGGGAGTAGGTAATGATCAGGACTCCAGGAAACACTGAATAAGCGTTTAACCCTTTCCTCCCCACCATGAATCTGAAGAACATAGGTGCAAAGAACATAGGCAAGCGGAACAGGACAAAGGTAGGTTAATCCATGGCAGCATACCTGTGTTGTCTAATGAAGACTTAAATATACTTTCAAATCTGCATTAGATAAAACAGATTTTATTATGGATAAAGGACATATTATGGATAAACATTTGGAATCATTAAGCTAATGCCATTACAACTTAGAAACATACGTTTTATGTAACCAGAAGCACCTTGGAGAATAAAAACTCATTGTGATTATTTCCAAGTCCTGCTCCCAATTTTCTGCACGAATGATCAAATTCCATAATAGAATACATAGTAACCAGCAAGCATATAATAAAGGTTTTATAACAAAAACTTAGTAACTGCTTGAGTATCTACAGGCATAAAGCAACATTAGCACTGGCCTACTGTTCTAACTTGACATTCATAATCTGCAGAGTCTCGATTTTTAGGGTGAAGGTTCCCTTTCAAGTCTACCTGCTCTGGGCAACCAAACTTGAATTTGTATTAAAAAAGAATTCATTGTATAACTTTTTAAAAAATGTTTTTTACATATTTTCCTTTATAAAATTAAATGAAATGTCAAACTCACATTTTCTATAAACACTCACATAAAATTATTAAAATGCTCCCCATCAATCTGTTTTTTGCTCATGAGGAGAAAACCCCCTGAACAATGGCCAAGTCCTCTCTAAAGAGGGATATTAGCAAATTCTGCACAGAGCATAAGAAATTTGGCATGGCCAGGCATTATTAATTTAGGATTATTTATGTCTTAGGATATCTCAGGTTTTAAAAACCAGAAACAAGAAAGCAAGTAGCATAAGCAATAGCTCATAAGTCAAATTTTCACTATCATACAAAGCTTTAATTCATCTGACCAAGAGCCTTGAAGGAAGGTACTGTACACCATGGAAATCGACAGGCAACCACAGGAGCATTCCATGAACATTGATTAGCAGGAAATAATTTCATTGGAGAAAGAACGGTAGAGTTAATTCTCAGAAACCATCCCTGGAAATAGGTAAAGGTCTTGGCAGAGAGTGCTGCAATACTCTGACATCTCTTTGCAACGATGAAACTCTGTGCCAGGGGCATGGCCTTCACGGTGTTTGATCAGTCTATTTACCTGCAAGACAGAAAACAACAAAAGATTACATAAAAACATAGGGGAGCAACACACACACACACATCTCTCTCACCCCTATGGGTGGTATGTGCCTTCCTCAAGCTCAGGTCCTCTACCAGAGGCCTGGGAGTTTGAGGGTTCTGCGCAGTATCTTAGCTGTTCCTAGAGCTGCACTCTTCTGGGCAAAGAGCTCTGAGGGTGGTCCTGGGATC